ATACCAAAGGGATGCCCAATGTCTGCTGACATCTATGATCTAAGTCTGAAGTCTCCTGTAGCTTCCTGTACCGTTAGCCTGCTAAAGCAGGAGGAGGGGAGAGGAGCGGTGGGGGGAGGGGAGGGGGAGGAAGTTGCTTCAGAGGAGAGTTCTGAGATACAGATAGAGACAGAAGGCTATTGGCAAACTGAAGTTTTTGATTCTGGACTTAATTAGGAGGCCGGTTGTAAACATCTTCAGAAAGTTCCTGAATTTATAGGTTAATTAGCATAAGCTTTTAAAGATGTACCATTTATAGCAAGACCTCTCAAAAAAAGATAATCTTATGGCTGAAACCCAAACTGAAAGCCAGCTAATGATAAAGCTGCAATTTGAGCGTATGCTCCATGCCAGTTTACAGGAAAATCTCTCCGGGAGAAAGAACCATTGACTCCAGCCCCTTAGACCTAAGACATGACATTTACAGAACTCGGGTCCTAAGAGCCAAGGAAACTTGGGAGTCAAGCAGTCCAAGGCTTGGATATATTTTTAATGCCTGTACTGAAAAACTGAGGCTCAAAGAAGTTGAGACACTTGCCTGAGGTCCCACAGCTGGGAGTTCTAGGGACAAGAGCAGAGCCCGGATTCCCTAACACGTGGAGCCCTTTTCATTAAAACACATGAAGACTCTGCTCCCCAGTCGGTCAGGCAAAAGCTTTCTCAGGTGTCTGGAGGCATCTCAGGTGAAAGCACCCAGAGAGGAGGCTATCGGGCACCTCTGATGCTTAGTGAGGGTCACTGGATGATACTTGTCTAAGTTCCCAGCTTTACTGGAGTGCATTTGAAGGGTGGCCCAGAAGATATGTCCACATAAAATCTCTGGAACCTGTGAATGTTTGGAAAAAGGGCCTTTGCAGATGTAATCATTAAGCTAAGGATCTTGAGATGAGATCATCCTGGACTATCGGGGTGAGCCCTAAATCCAATGACAAGTTCCTCCTAAGAGCAAAGCAGAGGGAGCGATGACACAGAGAGAAGACACAGAGGGGAGGTCATGTGAAGATGAAGGCCGAGATCAGGGTCATGCAGCCACAGGCCGCCACAGGCTGGAAGAGGCAAGGGAGAGTTCCCCCTGAGAGCCTCTGGAGGGAGCGTGGCCCTGCTGACACCTTGGGTTTGGACTTCTGGCCTCTGGAACTGTAAGAGAGTAAGTTTCTGTGGTTTTAAGCCCCCACTGTTAGAGCAGATTCAGGAAACTAATACACTTATAATCTCTATGGATACAATCAATCAGAAGAAACAACAGTAACAAGATAAGGATCACAGAACGGAGAAGCAAAACATGGTATATCCATATGATGCAATATCATTCAGTCTTGAAGGAAATTCTGGCACATGCTACAACATGGATGAACCTTGAGGACATTGTTCAAAGCAAAGTAGACATACACACACACACACACACCTGGATACTATATGATTCCACCTACGTAAGGTGCCTAGAGTAGTCAAATTCATAGAGACAGAGAATAGGATGGTTGTTGTCGGGGCTTGAGGGGGAAGATGCAAATGAACTTTTACTGTTTAGTAAGTATAGTGTCTCCGCTTTACAAGCTGTAAAGCGTCACGGAGATCGATGGTGGTGAGGGTTGCACCACATTATGGATATATTTAATACCACTGAACTGTACACTTAAAAGGGATTAAGATGGTAAATTTTATGTTAGGTGCATTTTACCACATTTTTAAAACGGAAGGGAAAAACCCAAAAGGCAAGGATCAAAGCATTTACAAATTCACAATCATAATGTTTCAATGATGGGGTCTGAGAATGAAGGCACGGGAGGAGGGTGGAGTGTTGAGACCTGTCGGGTTTATATGGGGAACCAAGCCAAGCTGACTCAGAAGTTGGTCACATGTCAGTGTGCTACTCAGGCAGGATATTTTTCTAGATCACACCCTTCTGAGGAGGTCGGCACTCCCGCTGGGTGGGTCTTGACTCTCCCATGAAGCCCGTACAAACGACTCCCAGAAGTCCCAATTCTGCAGGCACCATGTGCAAAGCCTCGACAATGTCCACCTGACAGACGGACCTCACTGAAACCCGAAGCCAAGGGGCAAGGAGCTCCTGCAGCTACCGCCAACACCCACTCCAGGCAGGAGCTGGGGGAAGCAGATGTTTCTACAAAATGGCATGTTCTTGGACCTGGTGTGTATTTTACACATTCCTTCTCACAGCTGTTGAACTAAATCTGAGGTCATCAATAGCCCCCCCTGTCTGCTGCCTCCCCAACTCTTTCTAGGGAACACAGTTCCCTCCGTGGACTGAGACAGCTGTTTCGATCCACACCTTCTGTAAATGTGGCTGGCTCAAATCTGGGGGCTATGCTCAGTGTGTTCCCACCGCTCTTCCTACAGCCAAACATCTGGGAGATGGTTCCGCTATTTTATTACTGTTGTTCTAAAATGCAATTTCCCCCTTGCTCCCAACTCAATGGGTTTATTTCAGTCTTATGCAGATCAAACTTGGGAACCCCAAAGGAAATGCTGTGAGGCGCCCCCCTCCGAGCTCCAGGGAGGGATGAAAGTCATGTTTAGGGGACGGGTGGGGAGCGCCCACCACCTCACTTTGAGTCTTGTGGTCTGACCACCTGGACTTCATGCTGCACTCTGGATAGGGCACAACCAACTTCTCCAATAGCTTTCCTGCAGGGGTGCTTCTCCGAGGGCCCAGCATTGACCCCACTTGGGCCAGCTATTAAACTGGAAAGGCCATGAAAACTCTGCCTCCCCCCCCAACTGTGTGTGGAGGGTGGGTCCACCTCTCAGGTTTCCCTCCTGCCAGTGCTCCCACTGTTTTGTGCCCTGAGTTCTGCAGTAGTCTCCTCCCTGTCTCTACCCTCCCCCCCTTCCCAACCATCTTTTAAAAATTCGAGGTAAAATTCACATCCATAAAATAAACCATTTAAATGTAAACAATTCTGCAGCATTTAGGATAGTCACAATGTCGTGCATTTACCACCTTTATCTCGTTCCAAAACATGTCATCGCTCCAGTTGGGTACCAATGAGCAGTTACTCTTATTTCCCGCCCCGCCCTGCCCCCAACTCCAGGCAACCTCCAGTCTGCTTTCTGTCTCTATGGATTTACCTCTTCTGGATATTTCATCTACATGGAAGCAAGCCGTATGCAGCCTTTTGTGTCTGGCTTCTTCCACTTAGCATAATGTTTTCAAGGTTCATCCATGTGGTAGCAGTATCAGAAGTCCTTCCTTTTTTAGGCTGAATAGTATTCCTTGTCTGTATATCCACATTTTGTTGGTCCATTCATCCATGCATGGACACTGGGTTGTTTCCATCTTCTGGCTGTTGTAAACAGAGCTGCTATGGGTGTGGTTCTATGTGTATCTGAGGATTCCCATGCATTCTTTTATTTTTTTTTTAATATTTATTTATTTATTTGAGAGGGAGCACGAGCAGGAAGGGCAGAAGCACAGGGAGAGAGAATCTCAAGCAGACTGAGCTGAGCGCAGAGCCCAACACAACCCTGAGATCATGACCTGAGTCGAAACCAAGAGTCAGACACTTAACCGACCGAACCACCCAGGCACCGTCCCGTGCATTCTTTATACAGCAATGTGATCCAATCACGTTCAACTCCAACTACAATTGCTCCCCACCATTCTTCAATGGCTTCCCACCATTCTTAGGATAAAGCCCAAAGTCCTCAATATGACTCTCGAAGTCCTCACACTCCGACCCCTCCCCCGCTGCCCTAGCGTCATCTCTCACACCTGTGCTCCTGCCCATGTGACTTTTGTTTCTGCTCTGCTTGTCCTTCGCCTCTGGGCCTCTATGGAGGCTGGTCCCTCTTCCTGGAAGCCCCTTCCCCAGGGTAAAAGACAACAGCTTGTAGCAGTCACTTCCTTATCTCCCCACTCCAATTAGCTACACTAGGTTCCAGCACAGAGCCAACGCAGGCCCTTCTGTGTCTCCCAGAGAGGCTCCCCCCCCGAGCCCCCCCAGAGCTTGCCCTGGGATTAGGGAAGCTATGCTAGACCTCACTGGGCAATCCCACAGCAGCTGCCCACAGACACTCGGAGGTCTCTTAGATCTGTGCCCAGGGTCTCTGAAACACACCCTGCTGGGAGGTTTGCATGTGGTTATGGGGATTCGGTGCCCCGAATCCGGTGTCTGTCGAAGCTGCAGGACCAGTTGGCTGCCTTCCCAGGTGCTCCATGTCCTGACGTACCTCTGCCCAGGACACAGTCTCTACCCTGAAATGTGGGCCGGATATGAGGTAATCTTTTTTTTTTTTTTTTTAATCAGATCTGGTTAAGGCCCCACAGGAGAGGTGGGGTGGGGGGGCGGGGGTGTGGGGTGGGGCAGAGACTCCCTCTGAACTCCGGCCCTTAATTCCACAGGACGGGCTCTGGCCCAAGAGGGGCTCCGCTCAGCCCAGAGGCAGCCGCTGGCGGGGCCGGGGCTGAGAAAGCAGGAACCAGGCTCTGTGGCAGGAGGCTGTCACACCTGAACCTGAGGGGTTGGCTCGGCCCAAGCCCCAGGGTGTTCTGGGTCACACAGGATGTGGTTTTTAAGGGTGGGGAAGTGTATGCCTTCACCTTTCACCCACCCTTCCTTTGCTTCAGCTCTGAGCCCCTGCTCCCTGAGCGTGCCCCCTCACACGCACACCCGTACCCGCGAGAGCGCACGTGGACACGCACATACGTGTGCTTTCTGACGTCTAAAAATAGTCTCATATGACCCTTCCTTCTCCATAATTCCTAGTGGTCCCCTTACCACTTTGGATTAATCCTCCATCATTCCAACTGCGCATGAACGTTTAGTGGAAACTGCCTGTGAAGACAGCCCGACCCATTAAATCTCGGAGGGAGCGATCCGCCATCGACAACTACTTGCTTTCCTCCAGTGGTGAAGATGGAGAAAATGGAACAAGAGCCTCTTTTGTGTTTCTGACGACTTCTGAGGAACAGGATGGTCGCTTTGACGGGAGCCACTTACCTCCAGGACTTTCCCTGTGATAAACTGGTGACAGGCTTCGCATTTCACCCCGAAGAGCCCCTGGTAGTCCTTTTCACAGTACGGAGCGCCATCCCTGCAACACAGAAGGCTGTTCAGCTCGTGGGAGGGGGGCCGAGGGGCAGGGAAGACACCAGGACCCGAGTCCTCGGAGCCCTTCTCCACAGAACGGTAGCATGCCGGCATTCTCCCCCACCCAGCATCCGCATGCCTGGAGACCTGGTCAGACATGATCACAACGCAGGGAACCACACCATGTGGACAGAGGGCTGTGGTTCTCCCGGCTACACAGAAATTACAGCCAGATCACCACATGGTTACCCCTGCTGCTTCCCTGTTGTCTCAGAACCAACTAGCAAAACACTGGCACCATTCCCTCTCCCCACCAGGCCAGATGGGCTTCAGATGTGGCGGCAGCATTCACCCTCCTCTGAGGAGGCCCCAGGGCCACCTTCCCCTCACAGCTTCCTTGAGCTCCCACGTCATCACCTCCCGGCAGCGCTGAGATGCCGTGTCCTCCGCCCTCAGGAGGCCCGAGGGGCGCGGGGCCTTCTCATCCAGCCTCTCAAAACCTCCTTATTTACCTCAGAGCACAGTAAAAATGTTGTTTTCTAGGTGTGCCATTGAGTGGAAGAGTCAAAAAGCACCACTGCAGACAGCCCAGTTACCTACTCCCACACAGCCTTCTGGGTTAGTTTAACAGTCAGTCGGGCACTTTCCTGTCTCTTCTTCCTTCGGCTGTGCGTCAGAAATCACCTGTGAAGTTTCTTCCTTCTGCTACAGGCGTTTGGGCTTCTCCCCGACCTACAGAATCGGATTTCTAGGGGTTGGGGCCCATGCTACTTTTGTTGTTGTTGTTTCACTCTATTCTGAAATTAAATTCACGTAACTCTTTTGAATAGCTGAGATATTTAACCTGGTTGGAGAACATTTTTTAAAGCATAAGAAGGTTTATAGGGGAAAATTTTCCTTCTTTGCCACTGGACCCCCATGTTCATTCTTTTTTCCTTAAATCAAAAGGTAACCACTGTAACTAGTTTCTCAGGGCTACATTAAAACAACAACAACACAACACTTACTCTAGCTATTATCTGCAGCATCAGACTCTAACATAAACCCATTCTTGGTGGGTTGTTTTGTGCATTGGTCCTAATGTGCTCAGGGCTTAGACCCTGTGTGTGTCTTGGGAGGGGGGAGGTGTCTACAGATACATTCAAGACCTAGAAAGAGGACAAAGGTTCACTTACTAGTTCCAAACAGGAAAAAAAAAAATGAGGGAAAGTAAAATTACTAAATGCTTCATTGATGACAACATACTGTGTAACATTATGTCAGCTTTGCTGATTGTTAAATTAGGCAAGGATTCACATTTCATTAAATTTATTGCAGGCAGACTATGGCAACAGCAGCAGAATAAAATTCCTTTTATAAAAACTAAAGAAGTTCTATAGCAAAAGTTCGTATTGATGGTGGGATGCTAATGTCTCTCACTATGTCCGGTGGGGGGGGCTGGGGGGCCCCTCCCAAGGATCCCGCGGCCTGGGCCCCAGCCTTACTTGCTGATGTACTCCCCAGTGAGGACCTTCCCGCAGGACTTGCACTTGAAACATCCCAAATGCCACTGCTTGTCCAGGGCCAGGAGGGCCTGCCCGTTCTTGATGTCCCTTCCGCAGCCGGCACAGCCTGGAAAAGCGCAGCTATTAGCAGTTACTCCACGTGTGTTCTGTGAAATCCCAGCATGCACGCCAGCTCTGAACCCCAGTGTGCGCCCAACCCACCCTCAACAAATAGTGACTTAAGCACCATGTCATTCCACTCCCTTTCCCTGCACTGAGTCTTTCTTAGCCTCACACAGCATGGAAACTCCGGGAACCTCAGTGGATCCAAGGGGATGGATGTCCTTCCTCCGTTCATTTCCTTGGGGGTGACTGAAATACCCCCCGAGCTCCAGCTGGCCCAGGGAACATTTAATTACATTGTCTTGGCTGTGATTTTCAGAAAGCTCTCCTAGGCCTCTATTAATTGAGGGCACGTGTGAGTAGCTGAGCATCTCATGCTGGATGCCTCACTGAACAATATATATGGGATTCCTGGAAAGCAGCCCATGAATCTCATTTTTGTAAATGGGACTCTCCTGCCTTATCATCCCAAACCAGACTTTTGAAGATCTGTGATCATCAGTTGAATAGCTCTTAATTCCTTAGCTTTAAATTCTCCGTGGCAGGCTCCTGTGAAGCAGATGAAGGAGAGAGTGTTTCTTTGTGGTAAAGGGCGTGGGCTCTGGAAGGAGCTGGCCCGGTTCCTGGGTCCCAGCCCAGCACAACAACTTGTTGGCTGGTTCTCCCCCTTTCTAAGCCTTGGGTTTCTTCATATGGAAGCTGGGGCCTTATGAGTGCCTGGCTCAAGCCTCCGATGAGGATTCAATGAAATAATGGTTAGCACGGAGGCTGGCATGTGGGAAGTGGCCTATAAACGTTTCCTATTATTATAATTGCCATTATTCTGATGGTTAAATACTTTGTTGTTAGGGATGTTGAGTATTTAAAAGAACCCAGAAGAATGTAAATTGATGCAACCTTTTTGGAAAGCAACATAGACATCCACAGACAGTTAAAATCAATGCAGCTGAGCAAACGAAACCCAGCATTGCTGGGAGGTTGGCCATCATGTCCCTGCTGATTAAGGGAAACACTCATGCAATAAAGCAATGCCCAGACAAGGCTACTTGGCGCACAAAATGATGAAACACCCCCTTCTTCCGACCCCATGTGTGATGGCTGCTTCTTTACTAGTGACACTCCTAGCCCTACTTTAACTCTCTCTTCTCCCAGAAAAACTTATTTAGATGCCCATTCACTGACCTGCTCCTGAGTCTTGACAGAACCCAGACCAGAACTGCTCCCACTGCCTTGACTCCTCCTCAATGCCACCCAGCAAGCGCTCCCATCCTAGGACAGTTCCTCCGGAGATGCTCGATTCCCCTGCTCTTCTCCTTTGCTGGGGCTTAAGTTAACTTGACTATGCCCCCCTCCTTTTTTTTTTGACTACAGGTGTGTTTCTGGTGATCTTTGGTCAGTGGGTATCAATGTACCTTTAGATCCAGCAATTTCCTGTCTAAGATTTTAGTCTACAATTTGCAAATGAGTGTGCATGTGTGTCTGGCATGTGTCCATGTATGTATTCCCTGAAGAAAATACATGTATTTCCTGCAGCGCTTTTGTAACAACAAAACTGAAAACAGCTGATGGGGGCATTAATAAGGAGCTGGTTACGTTAATTATGGTAGAGTCTGGAATACTGGAATAGTATGTACTGTTAAAAAGAATGAGTCAGTTTGTGTGCGGACATGGAAAAATGTCCAAAATAGATTAAGTTAAAAAAAAAAAAGCAACCTGTGGAACAGTAGGCATACCATAAGCTCATTTACAAAAAATTAGTGAAGGGTATATATATGTTTGCACACATGCTTGTATAGGAAATAAAACATTTCTTTAAAAAAAATTGAAATGCCTAAGGTATTTTCCTCTGTTAAGGAGGACTTTTTACTTCACATCCTCTGTGTTGTTTGAATTATTTTTTTGTTACGATGAGAATGTAAAAAAAAAAAAAAGAGCAAATGTTTATAAAGTTAAAAATATAATTGCTATATAAGTTCTAAATTATTGCAGATTAGGATTTCTGTAAGTATTGCCCATTATTAGCTGAGCGTGTATTATATGATCACAAAGCATTATTATTATTATTTTTTTTAAGCTGGAGTTTTGTTTCCCAGCATCTCAACAAAAAACTTTATAAAAGGGATCTCACATCTGGTAGTTTACTATAAGGATAAAAATGGAAGGCCATGATATTTGCTCATACATACAATATTTAAAGGTTAGGAGCACAAGATGAGTTTAAGATGAATTGACAGTTTTTAATCCAAGTTGAACCGAATTTTTTTCATTCTTCTGATTAGATTATGCCCACTAGGTGGCAGTAAAGATTTAAAATAATAAGGAAGATGCCGGTTGGTAGATTTTTTTAAGTCAGAAAATAAATTTTAGACATGGCTTTCAGTTTTAGGAACTGAAGACAGTTGGGCTCAGGAGGGTTGGCAGAGCCATTTAGCGTCTCCCCCTGCACAGCCCTGAGATCTAGGGAGATGGAAGGCCTAGGGATGGTAAGAGTCCAGGCTTTGGAATTAGGAGGATTTGAGTATTAACTTGGGCAAGTCACAGTCTCTGAACCCTCACTTCTTCATCTGTGAAATTGCCAACTATGACGTGCTTTGCACAACACTTAGTACGTTTGGTCCATGTTAGCCTCTCAATGTGGCTCCACCTTTCTTTGGTGGGAGCAGAGCTGGGACTAGAAGCCATGTTTCTGGATGGTAAGTCTTGTTCTCTTTACAAGCACATTAATGCCCAGATATCCCAGAGCTCTGAAAGCAGCTGAGACACAATTTGAGAGCAATAACGATTTCTCTGATCATTCTGCACGGAGGGTTTTGGCTGAACCAGGCACCATGTGAGGGCTTTAAAAGAGGGTACCATTTATTATTCAGTCATATAGTCAAAATGCCTGCAGTCTGGAAGCCTCTGACCTCACAGGTGGTGTCCCATACTTCTCAGATCCTCTGGGCCCCGCAGTGTCCCATGGAGGACAGATGTTCTACAACTGACTTTGATAATGGTTTATAGAGAAGTGTTCACCGAATGCTGAATGTCTAGAGCTAGGCAGCTGGTAAAGTGGGGCTGGAAGCAGAGACGGGGATGAGCCACTTCCTCCCAAACCTTTAGACATAAATCAAGAAAATCAAAGACCACCTCCGAGAAAGTAGAATACTGGCCCACACTGGCTGATTCCAAGTGTTCTGGCATATGCCACAGAGGCTACTCACTCATTTCCTCTCTGGACAAAACCATAAATTCTCCACCTAAGCCTGATGTCATGCTGGGAAAAGTGGAAAAGATGCAGAGACAAAAAGATGCGTGCTGGATTGTTCACTCCTCCCATGCTCATCCCAACTAAGCTCTTTTATAAAGAACAAAATGTCCTACTCTGTATCTTCATGGTTTTCAGCTGTTGAGAAAATTGTTTCCACATCGCTGAAGCAGCTGCTGATAAATATAGAAAGCTGGCGATTGGCACTGGAATTATTGCCGAAGTCAGAAATAGGTGAATATGGAGCAGCATCAAGGAAGTCAAACACTCTAGCAACTTGCCATGTATTCCATCAAAAACAAAGAATCACCAACTGTGGCAAGAGAAAAACACAACAACAGTAAACACTTTGCCTCAAGTCTTTCACTCTTGGCACCAAGAGCCAAGAGAAGAGCAGGAATTTGGCTTATATCTGAGTTAAACTAATATCCAACTACACACCTGGTTCCATATTTGTATCACTTTGCTCCAAGACAACAAATATCCTTGAGGACAGGGATCCTGATTATCTGCTTTAAATTTTTTTTTTTTTTTGTATCAGGTCATGCACACCTGGGCTTTGAAAGTATTTAAGTTGAAGAAGGTGGCAAATGGCTCTCAGCAAGAAAAGTTGTGTTCCCAAGCCAAGAAAGATGTCCTCATTTGGGCAGCACTTAAGGTCCTATCAGATTGGATACCTATGTTCTTCTTGAGAACTATTTCTGCCTTTTTAGAATTTCTCACTTGGGAAAAGTAAGGGCCAAAGAGATGTCTTACTCTGTGAAGATGCCTCTCTAGAGAAGAGGACTGAGGACATGGAGCTCTAGAAAAGAAAACCAGGTGGTAACTAAATTCCCACTCCCTCCTGCCTAGGTCTGCATGCTTCAGTGATGCCCAGAAACATTAATGAAGATGGACCTCACCATTCACAGTGGCTACCCATCTGGGATCAAAGCTCTCAGAATACAAAATGGGGATTTTTGTAGTGTTTTGGAATTTTGGGCCATGGTCTAAGAGCTGAAGATTGTGGTGATAAATATTCCATCTCCTAAAGAAGGATGCCAGGAATATCCTTGCAGGACTTTCCAAAAGACAGCAGAATTCACCTGATGATTACCAACCCCTATTGCCCACTTACCCCTGAAGTCAGAAATTTGAAAATGCATAGGAGTCAGCAGGGAGCTGTCCACACAGCAGGAGTGTGGGGGTGTTCTCTCCCCTCTGCTGTGACAGGGATTAGAGGACCCTGGGGGGAAGTTTAGGAAGAACCTAGAAGTTTACTGAGTGGGGAAGCTCAGGCCCCAGGGCTGCTATGGGTCCAAGAGAAGCGTGATGTTAGAGTTCTTGGAACAAACTGATTTTAATGTCCTAGAGCTTGGAAGCACTCATAAACAGAAAAATCTTGAGCCTGCTGAATTTGGAAGATTTGGAAGGCAGGAAGCTGGTTGGAGGCAGAAATGGCAGGCTAAGGAGAGGATGGAGTGGGAATGGCATTCACTTCCACCGTTTGGCTCACTGTGGGATGCACTTATGTCTTGTGGCTGGTACCCATGCCCAAGCATCTAGAATGAACCCACTGACCAAAGCTGTCTACTGAGGGTGGGGGACTTCATTAGTAAGAGGCTAGGAGACTACAAGGGAGCAGGACCTGAGGCTGGGAGGTGGGGGGAGTTTGTTGTAAGAGGTTAACCAGAAACTGCATGCTTTTGTCAAGGAACCAAAGTGCACCCCCATAAAAATTGTCTCCAGCCAGTGTTAACTGAGAGAGCAGCGTGACA